AATTTAAGTGTGTTCATTTTATTGTTGAAATGATTTTAGTTTTATTATTTGAATTTTATGAATCCCTCAATATTTTATTTGTAATTTTTAGACTTATAAAAATACAGTTATTGTTCTTACAAAGTTATAAAAATTCAAATATATATTTTAATTGTTTTATTCAATTTTAAAAATAATATTTTTTTCCATGGGGTCCCATAGTGCACATGGGCCCACCATGTGGCATGTAGGTGGGGGCCCATATGTGCCACAAAACGGTGGCACACCCCACTCTCTTTGGATTCACTTGTTTGTTTTTAAGATAATGTTAGTTTGATTTGTGGCATGTGGTCAAATCTTGGAAGGGATATATTGACCGTGAGTTTATTTATTTTGTACAAGTTTGTTTTATTTAAATATATTGATGGAAAAATGGTTTAGGAAAATGGGGATAATGGTTAATGCACTTTTCATAATGTTGATGACCCATTTATGGAATGGATGGCTCAAATCTATCACCCCACAAGTCACCATTGATCGACGATCTATGTTCAATCTCACAAGAAAAGGCAAGCTGAGAAAAACCCTAAAAAACCCTAATCATATTCAAAGCCTATAAAAAGGGATTGTCTCTACCAAAAACTCTCTACACTTTATCTCTTGTACCTAATTCTCATCTTTCTCTCTCATATCCCAAAAAGGGGGTACGTACCACTCTTTCATGTTTGCTCTTTCTCTCTCACATTGTGAAAGAACCTAAGGGTTTAGGTTATGGAGTTCTTCTCGCCTATCTCTCAACTATGGATTTACGGCTAAGGGTTTTAGGGTTTAGCAAAAATGGAATCATCTATATCAAACTAGGTTGTTAAGAGAATTCATCTAAGGTTTGAGTTTGTGATAAAAAGGGTTCATGTTCCATTGGTGTGGCTTGGCCGAAATTTGCTTTCCCTGTTCGAGATCTTTCCATGTTCGAGATTAAGCTAAACCGTTCATCCCGCGCCATCGGATGGTGGTGACTCGGTGTTGAGTGTAATAAGCCTGTTTGAGGTAATCTCCTGCACTCTTCCTTTTTGTTTCTTGTAATATTATCTTTTATTCTCAAACATAGTGCATAGTTGTTTCAATGACATCAAGTTGTTAAGATCTGGTTTTATTGTTATATTGATTTTATTTTGAAATTTATCTTATTATAATAACGACTACCTGTAAGTGATCTTTTACCAAAAAAAAAGGGTGAAAAAAAATAAAAAAATAAAATAAAATAAATATATATATATATATATATATATATATATATATTCCTCGGAAAAGATCACATAGGTCTTTCTTCACGCTACAAAATTGGATCCAAGATTGATACAAATAATGGGTGCTCAAGGGAGCCCGCATGAAAATAGCATGGGACTCGTAAAAACCGGGTCCGAAAGAAAAGCAGACGAAGACCAAAAAACCTATCAGGTCCAAAGCAGTCCGGACAATGGAACGCGAACACGCGGCCCATACATGGCAGTAACACATATGTATCAAAAGTTTTCCTGTCCCTTTAGGAATATATTATCTATCTACTCCCTCGCACAAAATTTACATAAAATCTCTCGTTTTTTTTTGGAGAACTTAACTCTTACCCTTTATGTACCTAAGAGTGGGCTTCTTAAGACGGCAATGGATGAAACTTTCTAATTTTTAGACGGAATGATCCGTTTAATATTTTTGTTTCTTTTAAAAATAATCAATATATTATAATTAAATAGATCTTACAATTTTAAAAACCAATAAAGGAAAAGTTTATATAAAACTGACACTCTAAACCATCAAATTGAAATCTACCTCAAAAATTTCATTAGAGGAGGTTGTCTCTAAACCATCAAATTGAAATTTACCTCAAAAATTTCATTAGAGGAGGTTGTTTTGATGCTCAAATTTCCTCAAATTTATCATCTCCACATCAAGATGTATGGTCATGAGAGAAAAAAAAAAAGATTTCAAGTTTTAAAAATAATATATTTTGTAAGGTCAATTTCTAAGATTTTCACGATCTACACTATTTTTTAACCTTTAAACTTTATAAATAAAATTGAAAATATATTTTAAGACTATCACAATGATTTTCAGTATTAAAACCATATTTTTCGATACTATTTGAAGGTAGGCTTGTTTAGAGCCTAGACTCTATATGACACCTTTTAAATAAATAAAAATTTAAATATTTGACTCAAAAATAAATAAAAATTTAAATATTTGACTCAAAAATAAATGTATAATATGCTCCCGAGGGAGCATAGTATGCATATACAGATGCGACCACTCTGGCTAAAAAAGCTCCCACAAGTGGCGAGACGCACAGTCGCTCTCATGACTGGCTCTGGCTCTATTTCTCTCTCCTCAACAAGACAGTCCCCTTTCTCTCTCTCTCATCCTGACAAAACACGCTATTGACGACTCCATGAAATGCTGCTGCTATAAGCCGACCAGAATCAACCCCATCTTCCTTCCATTCAACCATCTCTTTCTCTCTCTAGAATCTAAAGTCCACCATGGGCAACTGCAACGGCGTCCCAACCGATGAAGAGCAACACGAAGCTGCAGCGGCACTACCCCATAACAGTAAGACTGGCATCCACGTAAGCCCCCCTGCTCCTCCTCCTCCGAAACCAGTTTCACACCTACAAACCCACTCTCTTTCTGCGTCTCCTTCTCCCCCACCACAACATATAGCAGGCATTGGTCGTATCCTCGGGCGGCCCATGGAAGATGGTAGATCCACTTACATTTTCGGCAAGGAGTTGGGCCGAGGCCAATTCGGCGTCACATATATGTGCACGCATAGAGAGACGAAAGAGGTTTTGGCGTGCAAATCGATTGCCACAAGGAAACTAATAACAAAGGATGACATTGAAGACGTCAGGAGAGAGGTCCAGATCATGCACCATTTGACTGGCCACAGGAACATTGTGGAGTTGAAGGGGGCTTATGAGGATAGGAACTCTGTGAATTTGGTCATGGAGTTGTGTGCGGGTGGTGAGTTGTTTGATAGGATTATAGCAAAGGGGCATTATTCGGAGCGTGCCGCTGCTACTCTTTGCAGGGAGATTGTTACGGTGGTCCACACTTGCCACTCTATGGGGGTTATGCATCGAGATCTCAAGCCTGAGAATTTTCTCTTCTTGAATAAGGATGAGGCTTCGCCCCTGAAAGCCACTGATTTTGGGCTTTCGGTGTTCTTCAAGCCTGGTAGGTCATTCCCTGTTCTCGTTTTCTTTTGGTTTCCACGATATGAGTGAACTGATCCCAATCTTGTAGTTATTAGGGAGTTTGTGTTTCGGATGTGCGGATATTTGAAAAATATTCGTTTGTTGGCTGATTATTATTAATTTTCGGACATACGAGTTACAGAGCAGATGTGCTTTTATTGAGACCTGTTGATATGATGATGCAGAGAGCATTATGCCTTGTTTTAGCACCAAAATATTGTCTAGATGCTCCCCAGTTCGCTGACTAATCCTGGAGTTGAGGTGTTGCTTCCCTTTTTTTTATAAGCTACTTTGGTATTTGCTCTTTGGTCTTGGGTTCAATAAGAACAAGGTTAATACTATGCAATTCATGAAGTCTCCTTCTGGAAGGATGGGTTATGAACTATTCTAATATTCTAGAAAACCAAACTGTTCTCCAAAAGCAAATTCATATGTGACTCAAACTCTGGAAATACCTGACTACTGAGACAGTAGCCTCACTTTTCACAGATGCTAACGCGGTATCTGCTTATCAGTTTAGCTGAGTTCTCATTGAGTTTTGTTATTCATTTGGATTGGCAAACAATCCTTTTCATTAAAATTTAGTGTAAGCTGATCATCCCTATATCTGTGATTGATAAGAGGGAAGTGTGGTCTCACTTATTCACTTGGCAAGGTATCAATCTTCAGCCAAGTATGGGATGGTGTGCCTTACATCACCCATAAAAGGTTATGTTGTCAGAAATCCTTATTGAGGATTTTCATAACTGATTAAGCTATGTCAATGCCAGTTTGTAAAAATCTTTTGTTGTTCTATTTTGTTCTTGTGCTTGATGGACAACATCCATCCATATCAACATCTGAGGTTCATTAGCCTCCTGGTTTTTGGGTTTTCCAACAAGTACCAGAGCCACTAAGTTGGGTCCAAACAACTGACAACTTAGTGATTGTCTTCAAGATTCCTTCCTCTAGAAAAGACCCATTACTTTAACCCAGATGTTTATCATTTCACTTTAGTAGAGAATCTCGTTGAGACATTGTTTTGGACTTTTGGTCCAATAGTGCCATTAATGGAGGGCATTAGTGTTTGGTGCATTTTGGTCCAATAGTGGCATTAATGGAGGGCATAGTGTTCGGTGAAACATTAGCTTTCTTCAGATAGAAGGCCAGGGGGCATGCTAACGGTGATGAAGTTCAATGTTCTTTACTTTAGATTGGTTACTCAATTTAATTAACTATATAAAGATCTAGATAAATCAGGATATACGTGATGTTTCCTTGACAATATCAACTAAATAAAAAACCTAAGCTAGAACTGAAATGAATTAATTTGGCTGTGATAACCACTAAGTGCAAAATGAAATTGAGGTTCTGAGACTATCATTCTGCATCAGTAGGATAAAAACGAACCATTGGCTTGTGGCTTATAGTCCCAATGATCGCAAATGGACGTATATGAATCTTCTGCTTTGCAAATGAGTCGGGGAAAAGTTACATGATTATGTGGCATTGCTATACTTAATATAGATTTGGACAAGTGAGGAACCTTCTTCTTTTTCCCCATGCTGGCAGCCTAGCAGATCATTGGTATAGTTGTTTGTAATCTTGCCACTTGGATGCAAATCCAAATCTATATCGCTATTGAATGTACATCTCCGTTGATGATTATTCAAATCTACATCTACTACAGCCTCAATGCATACAATCCTAATCTGTTCAATTGGTTTTTATACCATCCAGGACAATTGCTGAAATCATTTTTCACCTTGCTGTCCCAGACTTCATGAGGATTTGATTATCTTCTCCATGCTAGAAAGGATCTAACCGAATCAATGCTAAATTACCCTTTTAGATGCAGTGGCCAAATCCCAAGAGCTTTATGTTGTTCAGCAATAATAATAACTAGCAAATTTTTGTTGGAGAGAAGTTTATTTTATTTGAGTCCTGTATCATTATGCATGTCATATTGTGTTATTTCATTCCTTTCATTATCTTGGACCACTTTATTGAAGACTAACTATATGAGATACTAGTCCACTGCCTGTACAATGCATGGCACAACCAAAACCCAATGCACAACAAATGTAATATGTAAATAATCTAAGAATTGTGTAGAAAAACTATATTAAAAAAGTCGACTACATCCAAAACATACAAAGACAATGGCATGGTACCTCCCCAACCCATGCCCCTCAAACCCCCACCCCTCTTTCTTTTTGCCAGAGCCCACCCCAATACTTAATGGACCAAAGGGCCCTCTGCATGTGGCCCATTCCCTTACAAAGTTATGTTTTTGGCCGAGGAATACCTCACCATTAAAGTAAAAAGATATGATGAAGTGATGATTTTCCCGCTCTCTCTAGCCCTTTTTCTCTCTAAATGTAGGCTTGGATCTCTTCTTATTTTCTCACTAACCAACCCCCAAAATCTCGGCTTCCACAAATAGAAGAGTGACCCTGTAGGAGGAACAGAGACCCAAAAATCTCTGATAAGATGAACCATAGAAGCATAGAAAGGATATATATATACATAGACGATGGAACCAAGTTTTAGAGGGAGAAAGCCTAATTTCCCAAAATTTTTCTAGTGAATTTTCTCGAGACACAAGTGATGGAGCAACTAATTTAACACTTTCACCTATTCAGCTGCCCATTAGACATTCAAATTGACAATTTCACACTTCTTCATCTTAATTCGCAAAATCTCTCCCTTTTTCCCTACAAATTTCATGAAAACGGATTTCAAAGCACCTGAAACCCATTTCAACATTCAAGCCTGCAAATTTTGCATTGGATCACCCTTTCCACCAATAAAATTTGCCAAAAAATAGAATCAACATAGAACCAAAGCCCTAATTCATCATTCAGCCTCCAAATTTAGCTCTAGCTCTTCCTTTTTGCTTCTTATTCTTGCCCTAAATGCTCAATTGAGCAGTATACTAATCAAGATGCCCAAGTTCACTAGATCTGAAACTTTTTTACACCACGATAGAGAAAGCAATGAATCATCAAAACCTATTCGCCATTATTTTCAGAGTTTTTTTAATCACTTTTTCTAGAGGAAATTCTTTCCTAATTATAACTTCTAACTTGTCTAATTAACCTTCCAACCTTCCTTGGCCCTGTAATTCTTAACTCGAGCAGTTTCTGCTCTCCTATTTTTACTTAGTCGATGAAACTTCTCAACAAAAAGAAAAAACAGCTATGGACCTTGAAGCCCTTCGAGCACCGATTGCGTTTTTGTAAGCAATAGAGAGAAGGATCTCTTCCTCAATAGTGAGCTCATCATGAGGAAGTAACTTTCATGACCTGTTCATTGAAATTCACAATTTTTTCTTTCCTCCCAGCTTGCTCTATGAGCTTGATGAGGTGCACACACTGGGAGGTTTTCTACGATTAGAGCTTGAGGGCACAGAGGAGAAAGAGGATAGAGAGAAAAAAAGGGGTGGTATGGCTAGGTTTTCCATCATCACAGCTTGGGGATAGAGAAAAGGGAGTGTGATGTAGAAAGAGAGGGGGCAGAGGAAAATTTAATTTTTTTGTTCATGGCGATGATGTATGCAATGTGGGGTATTTATTTGGTACTCGAAGGATGAGAAGAAAGTGGGGGGTCATTTGTATTTTTTACAAAGGGTAAAATAATCATTTGTTTCATGGATTTCTACTCTAATCATATGTTGGGGGGTCCTTGAATAACCTTGGAGAGGAAGGATGGCATTGTGATGGTCATGAGGTGCATGAGGGGCTATATGGCACCTCAAGTATGGAGAGAAATAACCCCACTCCCGGTCTGGGTGCGTGTGGGGGGAGCATGGGGGTGGGGGGGAGTGGGCGATGTCATTTTCCTTAAAAATAAATTAGCAAAATATAAAAGGTGATGCAGGGCCCATTGCCTCTGTTTTTCAATTTCTTAGAAGTTCTATGGTTTTTGGATGTTAGAGTTAGTTTAGAAAAATAATTAAGGTCATTATCATCTTTTGTCAAAAGGGCAGAATTATGTACTTTATTAAGGGTAAAAAAATTTGTTATTATGGATTTATTTTTAACTAGGCATTTTATTTCAATCAGAATTAGGATATCTTGAGTTTTAAGTAAGATCGTTATTATCAATATGGTTTCCATGTGGATGATCCAATTCATAGTTTAATATTATTGATTTTGTCTTAACTTATTTAAAACTAGAGATCTAGAAGCATAGCTTGTATTCTTCAACCCCATTTCATTTCAATCCAAATTTCACATATGATTTCCTTTCCATTGTTAGCTCAATAGTGCTTCATTAGAGCTTCCTTATCTGCTCTGCATCATCCAGTATTAGAGTAGGTCCGATCCCAAAGCGGTCGAGTATTTGCTGCAAGTTTGCAGAATGGCTATTAAAGGAGGTTGAGGAGTTCGCGGTGGTCGTGTTGAAGTTACATTGAAGGAATTTAATGATATGTGTTGAGGATTGATGTCTTGTATTATGAGGAAATAGATCTGCCAAATGGAGTCAAAAGGACGACTCTGGAGGACCGTTAAAAGCTCAAAGGGCCGATGGCCCGATTGGCTTGAGGCCCGAAGGAGTGTCTGGCCATGTAGACTCTGTTGACTCGGCCCCTGCGGGGGTTGGGGGGTGGCAGGCCCCAAGCAAAATTTCGGATATTCGTACATGAGATTCAATATATCTGGGATTTGATATATATCTGTACATGAGGCATTTTGGTAATTTGTACCATCTATTTGGGACTCGATATATATTGTTGCGATGGGTTTTTTTACGGTTAAGGGAAAAACGCAGATCTCTTTGTAATAAGAGAGAACAGAGATGCGTGAGGAAGAGAGCTATTGTAACCCTATTCTCCATTGTCGGTAAAGAAGCTCTCATCTCCCGTGGACGTAGGTGCGTTGCCGAATCACGTATATCTGCGTTGTGGTTGGTTGTCTATTTCTTTTGTGTTTGTTTCTTCTTTCTTGTTTTCGTGGATTGTTTTTCGTTTCTACAATATGAAGAGGAGAATTGAGG